TTTAAGCTTGCTCTATTGAGATCCCTATAATCAACACAGAATAGGGGGGGGGGGACCATTAGTAAGTTTTTTATCAAGAAACTCAAAGGCTAATCCATTGCTACCGACCCCGTGAGAACCCCCCAAAGTGCAGTTACTTTCTACCCCGTGAGAACCCCCAAAAGTGCAGTTACTTTCTACCAGGCGGATCTTAAGTGTGTATTTTCTCAAACATTTCACGACCATGTCCAAGACCAGAGTTATCGGCAGTCAAAAGAGAACTTTAACATGCATGGCCAGTCAGTTCCCAGTTCATTTACTATTTACAAATTTCACGCTTCATGCTGATTTTCAAGCGTGTTAGCCCATCACTTTTAAGAACTAGTACCAATTTATTTTTAAGAACTAGTACCAATTGTTCCTCCCTTGTTATGTCCCTATTTCCTATTGTACCAATTGTTTTGCCCTTGTTATGTCCCTGTTTTTAGTTCTCCTCATCTATTTTCAAGTCCTCCTAATCCCTCGCTTAAGTTCATGGTTAACCTCTGTAAGCTTCCTTATCTGTCCTGCTTCCATTTGGATTACCATTGATGACTGTTTGTGCGAATGAGCTCTATCAGATTCTTTGGCATTCTTCGTCCATGATTTCTTGCCATTGTTATCTTTCCTTCATTCAGACAGTGTATAGGAAATATCTGAAAGCTCAAAATTGTGCAGACCGTAATCCTGGTTGGGTTATTATCATCTAAATGTATATCCTGGATTTTATATTTGCTTTTCGAACTGAGGATGCTTCTTTTTATAGTCTTCTTTACTGTCATTTCATGATAGCTGTACTTCCTCTCAGGAAATCCGAGAGCTACAGGAGCTCCAGAGGACGTTTTACACTTTTCTTCACGTGATTGCTACGCATGATCTGTCATCAGCTTTTCTTTCCTCCAAAAGTAGGGTCTACTTGGATCCGATGATGCAGCTGGTTTTACATGCATCCTGTAATCACAAGGATATCGTTGTTCGTAAGGTTAGTTTAGCATTGATTTACTTGTGCTTATTTAGTGTTCAGGAACTTCACTAAAACATGTTATATCCCACTTGTCGGAACTTGATTCTTTACCATTTTCTTATTCAGGCATGTGTACAGATATTTATAAAACTAATCAAAGACTGGTGCGCGAGACCTTATGGCGAAGAAAAGGTGAACTGTCTTTGAGCTGTACTGCAACAATAAAGATTACTTGTGCTGACTGATATGTAAAATGTCTTCTCTGTTCCAGGTGCCTGGTTTCCAAAGTTTTGTGATTGAGGCCTTTGCAACGAACTGTTGTCTGTACAGCGTCCTCGACAAATCCTTTGAATTTCGTGATGCAAATACGGTAAGTTGGTGTGTTGACTAGTCTAAAAAATTCCTATTATCAGTTGTGGCACAATAATGTTAGCGCGTGGTGCTTTGATATGAATATTCTGCTTTTATTGTCAATCGGTTTGCTTTCATGTGGGCTGATATAATTTCAGCATGTTTGTGGCTTTTTCCTTCTGGAACTGGCATTTGGCAGCAAATTGAATATATCCTTCTGTTTCTTCCTGCTGTAGCAATTTAGTTCCTCTTTTGGCATTGCCGCATTACATAAAACTGCGAAATCCTACTTGCTGTTTGCTATAGTTATATGATTGCAAGAGTCTGATTTTCCTGGGTTGCATAGTTAATCTTCTTTTTCTTTTGGATTACCATGGCAGCTTGTTCTTTTTGGAGAGATTGTAATGGCTCAGAAGGTCATGTATGAGAAATTTGGCAATGATTTTCTTGTTCATTTTGTATCAAAAGGCTTCCCAAGTGCTCATTGCCCCCAAGATTTGGCTGAGCAGTACTGTCAGAAATTGCAGGTATTCTACTTTTTGTTTGACATTTTGAATTAAGTTTTAGAATTGATTTTTCCTGCATAGGACTGTCTTTTCGAAAAACATTGTTTAAGGAACTGGAAGAAGTAGAAAACATACAGTTTCCTTCCTCCAGTTTCACAATAAAATCTCTGTTGAAGTATCTACATGCAAACTGCAAGAATTATAATTGGATAATCCACTTTTACTGACTTTTCTTTCTATTGTTCTGTGCTTTTATTGCCAGGGTAACGATATCAAAGTGCTGAAATCATTTTACCAGTCGCTTATTGAAAATTTGAGACGTCAACAAAATGGAAGCTTGGTGTTTAGATAGCATTTCAGTAAACGATGAGATCAATCACTTTATTGTTGCCTATATGCTTCTTGTTATAACCAGTTGTCCTGGTTATAAATAATTTTGTCAACAGGTGTGTGTGCCAATGTATATGCCAAGCATATTATATAGAATCAGATTCTTGTTCTGCACAACATTTTATTATAATATTTGTTATTTTTGATTTTGCAGGGTTCGTTTCTGTAAATATTATTCGTTTAAGTCTTCATAGCAGCGAGGTATGGGCAAATAGAATGCTTTCATTGCTAATAGAATTCTATTCCTATTTTATTTTGTAATCTGTTTATTTTCTGATGTGGTAGGTGTAAATTTGCGGAAGCAGTTTCTTGATATGAAAATGTTAATTTATCACACAATTTTGCTGCTTACGACGGTGAAGGCTGCCGAAGTCATTTTTGTGTAAATGTATTTGTTTTTACAGCGCCTTGAGGGATTTTTTTCAGTGCCTTTGAGTTGCTTTCTTTTCCTGTCTTCTTCTAACATTTGAAGGATTTTCAGAATGTTCTGTGTATGCCATTAAAGCTGCAGGTGGTTATGAATGCTGTCATATATCTTCGGTTTAGACTATAGATGAAGCAAATAAATGATCCCTTACCTTCATCCTACAGATCCAATTTAAACATGGCTTTTGAATTTTGCCAGTTGCTTCAATCTAAAATACAAGATTTGAGTTGGATAACCAGACGATTTCATTACAAAATATGTAGAGCATTAGAGCAACCTTAGCGGATATGGCGATATGGCCCACCATTTAAAACAGAATAAACATTTCTTGAAGGAACACAAATAGTGCTAAATCAAGCAGAGTAAAGATTTGGTTCAAGTTTTGGCTCAATCACAGCAGCAAGTGGAATCTTTTTTGGTATGGAGAGGCAAAAAATTTCCTCCATGTTGAGGTCCTCAGGGGTCATATTATCGGGCAATGACCATTTAAATCCGTGTAGAAGATTAGCTAAGCTAGCTTGAATCACCTTAAGCCCTAAGTTGTATCCCGGACACATCCTTCTCCCAGCTCCAAATGGCAGTAGCTCAAAATTATGTCCTTTGACATCAATGGAATTTCCGAGAAACCTCTCAGGTTTGAACGCCTCAGGCTCGTCCCACAAAGTAGGGTCTCTTGCGATAGTCCATACGCTTACTAGGACCCTGGTTCCTTTCAGAATGTCGTAGCCGGCTACTTTACAGTCTTCTCCGCAGAGCCGTGGAGTTAACATTGGTGCCACGGGGTGAAGTCGCATAGTCTCTTTAACAATTGCCTCTATGTATGGAAAATTTGGGATGTCCTTTTCTTGTACCCATCTGTTCTGCCCAATCACTCGATCCAATTCCTCTGTTGCCTTGTTGAAAATCTCCGGCTTCTTTAGCAGCTCTGAGATTGCCCACTCCACGATCACTGCTGTACTCTCGGTTCCACCAGCCAGCAAGTCCTGATTGTGCAATACATATTTAAGTCTTATCATCAAGCGCCAAAAAAATAAAGAAATACTTGACCCGTACGTAGCCCTCCAACTTTCATAGAAAAAGTTCGATTTCGTTAATTATTATATGTTTTAACGTGCGGATAGACATTGGAACCAACTATATCTCGGTCAACCATAAAGTTCCAAACTTTTCTTAGCAAATTTTCCTTTAGTCCTAGTGAAGAAATCATCAGTAGTGGCACCCAAGTGGTAGAAGCAATAAAGGATCTAGTACGCGGTTAATAAGATTATTCATAAATACTAGAGTAGTACTTTAATTTTTGTGTGCTATTATTTTTCTTTTGTCTTAAATTGATAAGACACCACGAGTTGTGAATTAAAGTGATATGTACCTGGGTGAAAGCCTTGACTCCATGTCTCTCTAGTTTAACCTCCAGAGTGGGATCATCAGCAAACTGTAGTTAAACATCCACCATGTCTTTGGCAACGTAATTCTCCTCAGCGTTTCTCCTAGCGTTATGCTCGTCGAGAACATACTCCAAAAACCTGTCAAACTTGTTGCTTAATACCTTCATCCTCTTAACATAACCTTGCAAGTCCATGAAATCAATCCAGGGGATATAATCTCCAATATTAAGTACACCATTTAGCAAGAACAGCTCGTCTAACATCTTCTTAAATTCCTCAGGAGTCACGATCGAGTTCTTGGACTCGTCCAAATACCTCTTCCCAAGTACCATCCTGCTAATAACATTTAAACTCAGCGTCATCAAATAATCTTTCAGCAGAATTGGTTTTCCCGTTAAGTTATACAAATCATGGAGGAGAGATTGTAACTCCTCTGTCCTAATATACTCGAGTGACTCGAGCCGTTTTGCGGTGAACAATTCCATAAGGCACATCTTACGTGCCTGGCGCCAATAGGGTCCGTAGGCGGACCAAGTGATATTCGAATAGTTGTAGGTGGTGTACTTGCCAGCAGCCATTTTAGGCCTGTCTACAAAGTTGATATCCATTGATTTGAGGAAAACCTTAGCCATTTCGACTGAGGAGCCCACCACCACAGGAAAAGACCCGAAGCGGAGTTGCATAATGGGTCCATACTTGAGGGAGAGTTCGTGGACAGAGCGGTGAGCGAGGGGGGCGATGAGGTTAAAGTTTCCGACAATTGGCCATGGTTTTGGGCCGGGTGGTAAGTTGAGTTTCCTTTGGCGGAGAAATTTGGAAAGGAGAAAAAGAGACAGTGTAGCTAGACATGCAGCTGCATATGCAGTCCAGGTAGGAGTTTCCATTTGGAATTACTGATAGTGAATCAATTGTTGAGCTAAATTTATATTAATGTTGGAAAGAAAATATTGCTTGTAGTACGATGAGTCAATAGTTATATTGATCATTTTCTGTTGTTTCTCCTTGCTTTGTGATCTGTGATCTGTGATCTGTCATTTTTTATTATATTACTGCTAGAGGACAGATTCTCTAAATAAACATTCTTAATGAGAGCAGTTAGCACTTAGCACTCCTCATTTATCTTAAACATGATGTCAAACTATTAAGAATAATAGTATAAGGAGATCTACTTGAAAGTTGGAATACACTAATGAGTTAAAAACTCAAGCATAAGCACAGGCTTAAAACAATATTTTAATGAGAGATGGAGACAAAGGCTCCAAAAGAGACAAGAACAAGAGGAATCAGAATGGATCAGTATTTCTGAAGTGTGCATTTTTTATCCCTAAACCAACAAACTAAAACTAAACGGAAAACTTAACAAGATACAGATTTGAACTTCTTCCAAGGAACCTGGAAGAGAAAGAATTAAGACTGGAATGTAATTAAAGAACTTTAGCTAGTATTTATATCCTACTGATTATTATCTATGTTTCTTGATATTCCCCACCAGAAGAGGCGATGTTAAGAAGTCACATAGATCATCTGGCAGCCAACTATTGAAGATCCAGAAGAGAAACTAACAATAAGTTAGTCCAACATATTTTTGATTGTGAAACGGTTATTAGATGGAAGAATATTATTGTCTCTAAGCCATGTTTAATGGACAGGTTAGTCACAGTTTTGCAAAATACTAAATTTGTAGAGTTGATAAGTTTTCGTTTTATTCTGCTATGTCATTCCATATACAACAAGATAGACTATCGGCTATTTTATCACCAGATAAGTGTTTATAATACAAGCTCTCGCAGGTATATATATAGTGCCAAATTACAAAATTCATTTAAGACAAAAAAAAAAAAAAAAAAAAAATTTAAAGCTTGACATTCAACATTGTTCATTCTTCAGAAGTAAGTTTATGGCTCCACGATGAGCTGTATTTATAGGGAGCATGTAATTTACACATGAAAAAACGTGATTAAGCAATCAATAAAAAGAAGACATGTGGCATCTAGGCCAAAATAGTTACTCCAATAAACTTGTGACAGGAAAGAAACAACAGGATTTTCCAGAATAGGATGAGGTCAGATGAAGCAAGTACTAGAATGATAACGCAGGAGGTCTACTAAAGAGTACTTATTTTTCCTAAATTAGCAGCGCATCTCTATAAGCTGAATGTGAATTCTTACCCTGTCTAGTTTGCTAGTGTTTGATTAGTAGTTTGCTAGTGTGAGAGGAGGTTATCCTTCGGCAAAAGGTTATCTACACTCTATAGCAATATGACAGCATCAGAAAAATCACAAGGCTCTAATGTTATTATTTCTGAAGATATAACTGCATTATGACATACATACATACATACTTTTGTGTTCACTACTAAAATCACTTTCAAGCAAAATAAAAGATACAAGATTTAAGTTGGATAAGTAGACGATACCATTACAAAAGATTTAAAGCACGAGTTCAAACATAACAAAGAGTCTATCTTGATGGAACCACAGAAGTGCTGAATCAAACAGAGTAAAGTTTAGGTGAAAGTCTTGGCTCAATCACAGTAGCAAGTGGAAACTTTTTAGGTGTGGAGAGCCCAAAAATCTCATCCATGTCGAGGTCCTCAGGAGTCATATTATCAGGCAATGACCAGTTAAATCCATGTATAAGATTAGCTAAGCTAGCTTGAATCACCTTAAGCCCCAAGTTATAACCCGGGCACATCCTTCTCCCAGCTCCAAATGGCAAAAGCTCAAAATCATGTCCTTTAACATCAATGGACTTTTCGTGGAACCTCTCCGGCTTGAACGCCTCAGGCTCGTCCCACAATGTAGGGTCTCTTCCAATAGTCCATACGCTCACAAGGACCCTGGTTCCTTTCTTAACGTCGTAGCCTGCTACCTTACAGTCTTCTCGACACTCCCGTGGCACCAACATTGGTGCCACGGGGTGCAGTCGCATAGTCTCTTTGACTATTGCCTCTATGTAAGGAAGATTTGGAATGTCTTTTTCTTGTACCCATCTATTCTGCCCAATTACTCGATCCAATTCTTCTGTAGCCTTTTTGAAAATCTCTGGCTTCTTTAGCAGCTCTGAAATTGCCCACTCCACTGTCACTGCTGAACTCTCGGTTCCACCAGCAAGCATATCCTGATTGTGCAATTATACATTTTACTCTTGTCGTCAACTACAACAAAGCATCGAAAACAAATACAAATATCCTGACCAACTTGACTTTCTATTTCCTAATTTTTTCTTGTAATTTATCTACTGTTGGATTCACTCCATTGTCCGTTCTACTTCGACAGAAAAGTGGGCCAGATATCATTTCAGTAACATTATCAACAGGTCAATTATTACGGGCATATTATTTTTCTTGTTTTTTTCAATACGACAGACCCGTACATAGCCAACTAAATTTCGGGTTCCACAATGTCTTGTCAATGTCCAGTAACTCCAATTGGGTGGAGGAAGTCATAAGTACTGTCCACCCGAGTGGAGCAGAGCAATAGGGATCTAGTCTGTGGTTAATTAAAATTATTCTTAACTATAATCTATGTACCTTTTAAGTTTTCCGTGCTATTAAGCAGACGTGAATCCCTCATTTTTAGAGGATACGACTTTAATCTATTACTACGAACCCACTACGGCTTTCATTGGACAAACACATTTTGGAAAAAGAAAATTCGAAAAAAAGGAAAACTTTTTTACGGACAAACGGGTCCCAAGTATTACTCCTATTATTTTCTATAGTCCTAACTTAAAGAGATTATGAGAAATATGAATTGATATCATTTCTTTATTACAATACCTGAGTGAATGCTTTGACTCCATGTCTCTCCAGCTTAACTTCCAACGTCGGATCATCAGCAAGCTGCAACAGAACATCAACCATGTCCTTAGCAATGTAATTCTCCACTCCATTTCTCCTAACGTTATGCTCATCGATAACATGCTCCAAAAACTTGTCGAATTTCTTGCTCACAAATTTCATCCTCTTAACATAACCTTGTAAGTCCATGAAATCAATCCAGGGAATTGAATCTCCAATATTAAGTACACCATTTAGCAAGAACAGCTCGTCCAACATCTTCTTAAATTCCTCAGGAGTCACAATCGAGTTCTCGGATTCGTCCAAATACCTCTTCCCCAGTACCATCCTGCTAATAACATTTAAACTCAACGTCGTCAAATAATCTTTCAGCACAATTGGTTTCCCTGATATTTTATTCAAATTATGGAGCAGAGAATGCAACTCCTCAGCCCGAATATACTCGTATGAATCGAGACGTTTCGGGCTGAATAATTCCATTAGGCACATTCTACGTGCCTGGCGCCAATATGGTCCATAAGGAGACCATGTAATATCTGAATAATTGTAAGTTGTGTACTTCCCGGCGGCCGTTTTAGGCCTGCCTACAAAGTTAATATCCATTGATTTGAGGAAAACCTTGGCCATTTCGACGGAAGAGCCAACAACAACGGGGAAAGTCCCGAATTGGAGTTGCATAATTGGCCCGTACTTGAGTGAAAGTTCGTGGATTGAGCGATGAGGAAGATTGCCGATAAGGTTTAAGTTTCCGATGATCGGCCATGGTTTTGGGCCTGGAGGTAAGTTGAGTTTTCTTTGGCGAAGAAATTTGGAAAGGAGCAAAAGAAAC